TGCACTAGGCATCGAGGTCTCTTCACAACTGCTACTACTGCTACTCCTACTACTACCACCACTACCACTACCACTACCACTACCATTACCACTACTACTGCTAGTACCCCCACTACTACGACCATTGTAACTACTCCAACTACTATGCTAATTATTGTCATCATCACTGGCACAATTACAACTATGTCTACTGTCAACCTCATGACTGTCACTAAGAGAAGGAATGAAACGCGTCTGTAGTGACTATGGCTGGTGTTGTTGCTGATACTCGTCTTGTCATGGCTGACAACGTTCGCGCTCTTGGTAGTCCACGCAGCAGCAGGAGGAGGAAAAGCAGTTAGCAGTAGCGGTAGCGGTAGCAGTAGCAGTGGCAGTAGCAGCAGGAGCAGCAGTAGGAGCAGGAGCAGGAGCAGGAGCAGCAGCAGCAGCAGCAGCAGCAGCAGCAGCAGCAGCAGCAGCAGCAGCAGGAGTAGCGGTAGTTGCGGTAGCAGTGGCTGTAGGAGCGGCAGTAAGGGCAGCAGCAGGAGTAGCGGTGGTCGCAGTAGCAGTAGCACTAGATGCACTAGCAGTAGCAGCAAGAGCAGTAGGAACTAATGGCAGCAGGAGCAAGGAAGTAGTAAGGAGGAGGCAGAGGAGCGTCCCGGGCCCAAGGACCCCCCATCCCCAGGATCTGTGGCCCGGGCTGAGACATGAAGGCTGTGAAATACCTGCACCAGGGGACATCCAGCACTCATCAGCAAAGCACGCCTGTTAGCACCTAACGTTGCTGTTAATGCTCGTATTACTACTAATTGCTGCTATTGCTTTGAATATTACTCATGTCATATCTAATATTGTTACTATCATGTTTATAGTCGCCAGGGGCCGGACCCGAAGTCACCCAAGTTCTGAATTCGCTGTCTGGCATCGTTGTAGATCGGATCGAAACGCTTGTGGACCTGCGAGGGTGACCCTCAACACGTCATCACCGGCGTTGGAGTAGCGACACCACTTGTAACATCACTGGCCTCGATCTGTAAGAGGACTCCTTTCTCCTTCGCGATGCCTCGGAGGGGTCTATTGGCGGACGTGAGTTCCCTTTCCTCGGACAGAAACTGGGAACCAAGCGCACAAGCTCCTTGTGCTGCGCCAGCGTCTTCACCATAGGCTTCGTCCTGCTCGCTGCTCGCTGTCCGCTGTGCAGAAGCCAACACCCTACTGGGGGTTTCCGAAAATAGGGGACCCTAATATAGTACCCTAAATAATAGGATCCTTACTATAAGGACCCCAAAATAAGGTACCCCCTATTTTCGGAAACCCCCTACTGAGCTCCCGGCACCAAGACGTGGACGCCGCCTTGCAGGGCGGCCTTGCAGATTTCCTGAGCATTCATCAAAGTAGTTCCTTATTTTTGGGGTTCATATATAGAATCCTATAAGGTAACCCCAAAAAGGAACTACTATGGGGCCTATGGGTAGGGGTATAGGCACTCTGCGAAGCGCGGCGAGCACGGCGATGCACAGCTGCTTGCAAGCAGGAGTCAAAGTGCGTGTCATCAGGTGTGAACCTGGAGTCCACCGAAGCTTGCTCCGCACCCCAGCAAAGTCACACGAAGGGCATGAGATCTCTAACAGCCAGCCCAACGCCGACAAACATGACAGGCAGACACGGTGCAAACGTCTCCCGGCTTAAAAGCCTTGATGGCATCAAGGTACGCCTGCAAGAAAACAGAGCGCGTCCCTTCCGTGCTCCGACCTACTTGGAGGTTCATGGGTAGTTATAAGTGGGGTTATCAATAGGGCTCCTTTAAAGGGTTCTATAGGGTTTATATAGGGTTTAGGGTTTAGGGGTAGTTGCAAGTGGGGTTATAAGTCCCCTACTATGGGTTATAACTATAGTTCCCCTACTTATAACCCCACTTATAACCACCCATGAACCTCCAAGTAAAGCCTCCACAAGCCTTCGGATTCTTGCCTTCTTTGGGAAAGAACTCAAACCTCGGCTACCGGGCACGCGAAAAACCGCGGAAGCTTCACGCTCCATGGACCCAGAGACTCCAATACCGCTTAAATAGGGAATATACCTTAAATTATAGTAGGATCCCTAATATGATTTAAGGTATACTCCTTAGTCAAGGGGTATTGGAGTCTCTGGGGAGCAGCCGTAGGCGCCGGGCTCTTTGCTGCCAATGTTCGGAAAGGTCAAGTTGCGACTGGCAAAAGAGGCGCGGTTTAGGGTTTAGGGTTTAGGGTTTAGGCATCGCTTAGGGGTGCTATTTTAGAGGGTTTGGGGTTGTAGGGTTCCTGTCAACCCTGGCATTCAAGGAAGCGCGGCAACGCGCAGGCAACTGTGTCCTGAGAAAGCTGGCGGCACTGGCCTGAAGTGCTCCTTGATCTTGGGCTCTTTGTCCCCGTTGGTTCCGACCATGGCAATACGATCCCTGAAAGACAGGAACGGACTCTCCAGCGCCAAGCTTGCACAAGGTGCTCAGCACCCGGCCCTATTTTCCCTTTCGCACGGAGGTCGAAGAAGGTCAACGCAACCTCGTGCTAGCGTCCGTGGTTTGGCTTCAAGGCTAAACTGGCAACTTGTGTGTTCAGTGGCTGCTGGCATCAGCAATACCACTAAATCCGATCAAAGTCTTGGCCGTTGCTACTGCTTCCTAGCATTTCCTAACCAAACTCGCGAGTGTCATTGATAGGCAACCTAGACCCTACACCCTGAAAGCCCTCCTTGCATCTGAACCTTGGTCGAATGCCAGGTCTGCCAGTGGCGGAAGTGCAGAACCCTGATAGGGTTTAGGGTTTAGGGTTTAGGGTTTAGGGTTTAGGGTTACCTCGGGCCACGGCGACCCCGAGCGACTTGTCCGACTTCGCCTGCAGCGCGAAGTCGACGGAAGGGGCAAGAACTGGCGGCGAAGCTCCTAAAGATGGCATTGGGCCTGACCCGAGGGTGTTAAGCCCGTGGTGTATTCGCCGGTGCCGAAAAGAATGGCATTGGGCGCCTGTCGAACACTGCATGCTTTGTTGCAAGCGCGGATGCAACATCTGCAACAGCTAGGCTGGGTGTCTCACCTTCGCGGCCATCCTACACTCGCAGATTGCGAGAGACTGTACACTTCTCGAAACCTAAACGGCTCAGGAACAGAGTGCACTCCGCACCAGTGGCAGGCTGAGGAACCGCGCAAGAAGAAACAAACTGCCAAGACTTCTTGCAAGCTCCGCGACGCCGACTGAGAGAGATTACCGGAGGAGCTGCCTTTGGACAAACCGTCTAACGCAAACCGCGTCCACCGCTCTGCACGACGAGCGCTGTGGAAACAAGCCGGGGCCAGCCACAGGGACTTCATTACGACCGGCTTGGGTTGAACTCGGACTCAAGCTCTCTCAGAGGGCATGTGAAACTTGTGTGACGGCTCTGCCCTTGTCGAGTCTTCCATCATCTTCACACGGATTGGAGGGCGGTCCACTTTGCAAATGCCAGCTGCTTCCGCGAGTCGCGGGCCACGTTCCGGATGTTGTGCTCTACCGTCTGGAGCCCTGGACCGTCTGGCAGTGGAAGACGAACCTCGGGTCTCTAGGTCCTTCACCAGAGCATCATGGCTCTCGCCACCACGAGCGGCCATGAACACCAGGCTCTGCTTGCCACCACGGGAGCGGGTGCGCCCACTAGGCCGGTCACACCGACGACTCCACCGCTGTTTGGCGCGGAAACCGGGCTGGGTTCCGACGATGTGCGACTGCGACCCTTGAGGAGCCGCCGTGAGCCTGCCGCGGCGGTGGGAAGCCAGGGCCATAACCTGAGCCACCGTCGAGTTGGAGCCCTTGATCATTTCTCTGAGTGGCAAAAGGGAAGAGGACCTCAAAGCACCTTCGGCCCCGCTCTTCAGGGCTTCTCGATGCCGCGGCTTCGCAGGTGCGTGCAGACTTGAGAGAGGGGAGGGGTGAAGGCTTCCAGGAGCTCGGTGACCTTCGCCGTGGCCGCGGCCGCGGCCTGCTCCAACTCCAGGCCGCCCCCGCTGGCATCGCCACCGAAGCCGCCCACTTTAGCAAGGAACTCAGTCCTCGACGGGGCCGCCAAGAGCGCAGCACCTTAGAGGCCGAAAGCTTTGAAACGCTTTGAAGCAAAGCCGGGGATTCGGGGTTTTGGGCAAGGCATCAGGACGCTCACTTCTTCGTTTTGCCTCCTCGTCGTCGCCGCCACAGTCAAAGCCGCAGCAGAACCAGCTGTTGCAACAGCCAGGAGTAGGGGGAGCAGCAACGCAGTAATAGTCGTGGTAGCCACCAGTAGTAGTAGTAGTAGTAGTAGTAGTAGTAGTAGTAGCAGCAGCAGCAGCAGCAGCAGCAGGAGTAGTAGTAGCAGCAGCAGCAGCAGTAGTAGTAGTAGCAGTAGTAGTACTAGTAGTGCTAGCAAGTAGCAGTAGCAGTTGTCGTGCTAGCCCCTACTACGACGACATCTGAATGTTCAGTTGCAC